CCGACGAGGACGACGTCGAGGAGGAGGAGGAGGACTCGAGGAGCAGCGAATCGAAACCACCCCTATCGCCGATACTCTCCGCCCCGACCACCATACGATTCCCTGCACGGGAACCGGAGAAGGACAGGCAACAGGCGACGGACAGCGGCGTGTGCCGATGGGACAAGTGCGAGGAGAGCTTCGAGTCGAGCGGCGAACTTCTCGAACATTTGCAGGTAATTCGTGTTATTCGTGAAAGTTGAGCGTTACTTACGTTTTCGATTCGATTCGATTCGATTCGATTCGATTCCGCGGGTAACTCGATCGTACGATGGAATAATAACGCGAACCCACCTGTATCGCGTTTCCCGTTTGTGTATCGTTGTTGTTACTCCGTGTTTTCGGGACACAAAAGGATTCGGATCTTTCTTTTTTATTTTCCCCTCTCTCTCGTCGCGAAATCGATATATCGCAACACTTTCGTGGCTATCGAATATCCGGTGGATATATAGGATTTCAACGTGGTCAACGTACGATATCGTACGTTGTATTGGCCATTGAAAAATGGAAGGAAAAGAGAAAAAGAGAAAAAAAAAATTCATTTGTTTGACAAGTGATTTTGCCGCGTTCCTCAGGTAGCTCACATCAACACCCAGACAGGGAGCGACAATTTCGTGTGCCAATGGCAGGGTTGCAAGGTGCAAGGGAGGAGTTCCTGTTCGAGGAGATGGTTGGAACGGCACGTGTTGTCTCACGGAGGAAACAAGCCCTTCCGGTGCATAGTCGACGGCTGCGGCAGCAGATTCAGCTCTCAGGTAATGCCTCTCGATTCGATGCCAAAATTATAAGTTGATTGTCTTTTGCATTCCAATCCTCTATCCCCGCGACTCGATTCCTCTTCGATCATCTTTTCGAGCGCGAATCGACAATGGATTGGAAACTTTTTCCTCGTTCGATCCAATCTCCTTTGTTCTCTTCTTCACAACGAAAGAACGCAACGAAAGAATCCGTGGACCGTCATCGCTGCAAGCTTTTCGTTCGTCCGAAGATCGTTCGTAGAAAAATCGGTGAGATTTTGAAGGAAGAGTTGAGACTCGCCACAAAGCCGATACTTTTTTCCGTTTCAGAGTTCAACGTTTCTCGGTTATGTTTGTCTCTTATTGCCGATTTGTCCTAACTTTGTCCTTTCCTCTCGAAAGACTGAGACCCGTGTTTGTATTCGTGCCAATAATCGTTTCGCGCGAGGAATAAACTGTCCATGTGTGCAAACTATAACGAAACATGTTTTTTCTACTATGTTTATGTCGAGCACGAGCGTCAACTTACGTACTTCAACGAGCCTCCTCGCGAATTGAAGTATTCCAGATGCAGAGATGATTCTTTCCTTCTTTCTTTCTTTTTCTTTTTTTTGTTGTGAAACTCGACACCACTGGATGGTTAGGTAATGTATCGTTGCGCGCAAACGAGGGACTACGCGTTCGTAAAAAATTTCTCGTTATATTCGAAATTTGTTGTTTCGAATCGGGGCGAACTGTACTCCTTGGTGAGAGAGAGAGAGAGAGAGAGAGACAGACAGAGAGAAAGACAAATTGATCCGTGCCGGTTAAGAAGGTTAAAAATTGCAACGCTCTTCTTTACCGACTTCTCGAGGGTGCACGTAAGTATGCGCAATGGAAAAAGCGGAGAAATTTGCCTCGGTCGATTCGTTTTCTCGAGAATGGCGGGCATTTTCCAGGGACGGCCGGGACAAAAAAGAATTGTCCACCCGCAATCGAGAGCTGTGACACGTCGCTTCTCCCGGAAAAGAAGGAACGATCGAGTTCGATCGCGTTTTTTTTACGGTTCTGGTCGCGGCTAGATTCATCCGCACCGTGAGACTCGCCTCGCGGCCAGAGTGATGGGATCGGAAACCATTTTGGAAATAATCAACGACTCACGACTCGCCACGACGAAACGTGTCTCGTTCGAAGCAAAGTCTTATCGCGCCAGGCCACTTTTTTTTTTCTTTTTCAACAATTTTACCGCTTTCTATCTAAACCATCTATGCCAATTATTATGATGTACCCGATCGATCGCTCATTCGAGTTTTATGTTTATTTATTTATTTATTTATTATTATTTTTTTTTTTTTCGAATTTATTACGAATCCATGCTCTCCCTGGAACGTGCCCAATTCCGGACGATGATCGAACGAAATATGCTTTGCAGACGGCTCTCGAGAGGCACGTGAACGGACACTTTAATCAACCGGAAACGAGCAACAATAACGCTAGACGGAGCTGCGAGAGCGGAGGGAAATTGGTGAGAAGGAACGGTAAACGGCTTCGATACAGGCGGCAACCGTGGTCAGGTAGATACCGTTTTTTTTTTTCCCTTTGAGATCTTCTTGACAGCCTCGTCATTGTTTTCTCTTTTTCAACAGCGAGACTGTTCGATTACTTCGATTCAGGGGTGATGGAGGGTCTTCAGCACAGGTTGCTTCAACTGGCAAAGTCGAGGACGCAAGGTCGTCTCGCTGAGACACCAGGAAATTCGATGGCCCTAACTAGTCAAGTAAGTAAGAGAATTTATCGTTCGTTTATCATCTCTCGATCATCGCGATTGTTATGCAATAATCCTTTTCTTCTTCTTCTTCTTCTTCTTCTTCTTCTTCAGGTATTAGCCCGAAGAGTAGAAATGGACGGGAAGACTAAAGTATTGTTACGATGGTACCCTCAAGATATGTGAGTAAACTCGTTCCTTTTATTTTATTTTATTTTATTTTTCTTCCATTTTAAATCTTCCATTGTAAACCATCACAAAATTTTCCATTTTACAGCGAGCCGGACGAATGGGTATTAGAGTCGGAAGTACAAAGCACGAAAAACGTAGGGATACGAAAAGTGGCGGCGTCTCACCCGGAAGAGGTGAGCTTGGCCCTGTTCTCGGCGGTGGGCAGCACGGAGCCGTCTATGCGAGTGAAGCAGCGCCGGAAACCGGCCAAGAACTCGTGATAATGCCGATCGAAAATGATCGAGGGAAAAGCGTGACCAAGTAGCGTGGCGATCGAATAACCAGAGAGAACGAATAGAGAGACGAAATCCTGTATCAGGATGATTGCGCTTTCTGGTAACAGGGAAAAAGTAAAAAGAAGCCTAGCAAAATTAACCGGAACCGGAACCGTAATCGGGAAGGGTACACTGGGTAAGACGCCCTCTCGAGTTTCGAGAGGTGGAAATGCATGGCCCGAAATAGTACGGATTTGGATTGGATTGTGGATGGTTATAAACTGGTAATGCACGAATCGAGAGAATCCATGAGGATCTACGAGAATGGATTCGAGAGAGAGAGAGAGAGAGAGAGAGAGAGAGAGAAAAGAAACTCGAGAAGAAGAAAGGAAGGAGGGAGAGGATGATATGAACGATGACGAAGATTAACGAACGTAGCTAAGAATATACCCAAAGGAGAAGAAAGAGTAATTACTACATTCTAATTTATTTAGCCTAAATCGAACGAAATCGTTAGGTGATATATTTAGTAGTCGTGGATAGCGATGAAATGATATTCTTGTTGCCTATCGATACCAAATTTTGAAAACGTTGGGGTCGATTCCTGCCACGAGTGCCTGTGATACGAAGCTGCGACACTCGTCGGACTCGGAAGAGCTAGGCTTGGGCCTCAAAAGTGCCTCACCGTGGATACCGTTTTATATACCGTTGACCGTCGTCACCAAGACCAATCGAGAGACGGTCGGAGTTGAATTAAAATGAAAGAAAAGAAAAAAAAGAAAAAAAAAGAGAAAAATACAAAAAAAAAATACAAAAAGAAAAAATAAAAAAAAAACAAGAAGAAGAAGAAGAAGAAGAAGAAGAAAAGAAAGGGGAAACAATAATGCAAGAGATAGAGACGAGAATTTTACTACGATACAACTCGATACGATAATGTGTGATTCG